CACCTCAGTGCCTTCTTCCAACCTCCGGCTACTCTTCCTCTTCCTCCTCCGATCTACCCTGTTTCCCCCTTCTCCTCCACCGTCCCTCCTTCTCCTTCTTCCTTTCCTTCTGTTCTCCTCCTTGATTATTACCGTGTTCACCTGGGCCTTCACAATTTTCTGGCAGGCAACGCTACCCATGCATTGCTAGCAGATGGAAAACCAGTCGGCCACATAGATGAGATTGGTCACCAATTAACTCTTCGTCTCTTCTCTCTCTCTCTCTCTCTCTCCTCTCTCTCCTACTCCAATTCTTCCTCTCCGCTCTCCCCTCCTCTCTCTCCTCCCTTTTCTGTTTCATCTTCTCCCCCTCTCTTTCTTCTCCTTTTCTGTTTCATCTCCCCCCCCTTCTTCTTTTCTCGTACTCTGCTGCTTCTCTCTCTCTTTTTCTTTCTCCTCTATCTCTTCTCTCTCTCTCTCTTCACTCTCTCTCTTTCTTTCTCTCTCTCTCTCTCTCTCTCTCTCTCTCTCTCTCTCTCTCTCTCTTCTCTTTTTCTTTCTGCACAAAATCGATTTTCTTTTTTTCCCCCTTTCCTCTTTTCCCTTCCCTCCCCACCCCCCCCCTCTTATCTCGTTCCCAATCCTCTGCGCCTCGTTTGGCTTCTTTGCTTGCAGCTGAGGCTGTGCGGCATGCAGGACTTTGACATCGACGACTGGCAGCGCAGCACCATCTACCGTGACTACACGTGCACGAGCGAGCAGATCGTCTGGTTCTGGCAGTACGTGCGCGAGCTCGACAACGAGAAGCGCGCGCGTCTGCTGCAGTTCGTCACCGGCACGTGCCGCGTGCCTGTCGGTGGATTCGTCGAGCTTATGGGTAAGCGTGACCGCCCCGCGCGCGCGCGCTCGGACGCGGCTGGGGCGTGGGGGCGTGAGGTCCGCCGTGTCCAGGTGGCACGTGTGATGTCAGCAGGGTAAAAAATACATGGGAGCGATGAGCCATTTGCTCTTCAAACCTCCGAAATTGCTCCCGTGAGGCTCAAAATAGCTCCCGTAAAAAATTTTTACGAAAGCTATTTTTTCCACAGACTCCCGTGAAAAAAAGAAAATTTTTTTTCCCTGGATGTCAGGCTATGCACGGTTGTCCCGCGGCGTTCACTGCTGCTGTCTTTATGCAAGGCATGGTATCTGTTTGTTAGGGCCGCGGGGAGAGAGACGCTCAGGTTCACATTAATGTAGATGAGCTTTTTCTACTGCCTTAACTTGAAGGTAAAATTGGGCAAGGTATAGCTCGTGTCATGTAGCCTCCCTCGCCAGAGAGCCCCAGCATTGTCATCATAACATTAGGCATAATAACAATATCCACTGCCGACATGGTCACACCTTGTTAGTATACTAACACAAACGAGTCATGGGTAAGTATGGACCTGCTCAATGTAAGGAAGAAGGAGGGGGAATAGAAGTGGGTATGACAGAAGGCAAGTTCGAAGGAAATTAGAGAGTCTTAAATCGGAGGTCTTGGAAGAAACTGTTAGGTTGGCATACCGGCATAGCTAGTGTCAGAGCTAACTCGTCCTTTGCACCTTGCAGGAAGTAACGACCCGCAGAAGTTCTGCATCGAGAAGGTGGGGAAGGAGACGTGGCTTCCTCGCAGCCACACGTGCTTCAACCGCCTCGACCTGCCACCCTACAAGAGCTACGAGCAGCTGAAGGAGAAGCTCAACTTTGCGATCGAGGAAACAGAGGGCTTCTATCAGGTTTAGAGTGCAAATAGTTGGTCTCTAACGAGTAAACGACGTGCAACGACGACGCACGTCATTACAAAGCCCCCCCCGCCCCCCCCCCCCATTCCCCAATCACGGGGCTTTGAATTATTGTTTTTGCTCTCTTCCCTATCTCATCAGGCGATGTGTTGATTTAAACTGTGGAAGCCCTGTCAAATCATAATAACATAATTTCAGAATTCTTCTTCTTAAATTAGTGCTCTACTGGAAATCTGTCGTATCTGTTGTTTTCTGATATACTCTGTTGTATATCACTCGTGTTGCTTGATTTCGAGATAATCATAGAGAAATAATTTTGCAATTATGAGCTGCTTCGTAGAGCCTTTTGTCCTGTGTTAGTGAATTCCTTCGAGAAACCAGTATCAGGTTCTGTTGAAGTCGGTGTACACTCGTATGTTTGTCGTTGCTTGCGTGAGAAATGTGTAAATTTTGTAAACAGCCACGAAGGATGAAAGTATGTAAGCGAGCATGAAAGTGTGTACCTTAAGTTAAGGAGGGAATGTTCCCCCTTCTTTTACACCTCTTGACCTTTGACCTTTGACCCCCAGCTTCGTCATCCCAACTCGTTTTCGGATTACCCCCCCACGTCCCGACTTTCGAATCCGTACGTCGAGCCGTTTAGATTTGTGCCCAACTGTTGACGGACGCACGGACGGCCGGACGGACGATCATGCGATTCTACAAGCTGCACCTGACTACGTCAGATGAGCTAAAAATGCAATTAACTGGTGTCAGGGGGGAAGTCAGTTTGTCATAGAAATTTTTTACTAAAAAGGTTAATAAAAAATGGTATTGGTTGGGGATTTCAAATTTGAGTTATTTGAGAAATAACATGTTTTAGTCAATGGATGTAATTTTCTAAATCAAATTAGAATCCAAAAACAAAAATATTGACCAGCATATTAAGGGTAACGGTGTACCTTGTTGCAACGTAAATATTTAAAAAAATTAGCTAGTTCTGCTTGAAATATATTGCTAATCCATTCTTACGTCATGTTGTGCTCAAGGTTAAATGAATGTAAGTAATGTATGTAAATTGCAGCAATCTGTAACTGTATGTCTTGCTGTTGCAGGCACTAGTCAATGGGAAATTCATAGACGGTGGATTCACATTCCCTTTCTATAAGAGAATGTTAAGCAAGAAGTTGACAATGAAGGACTTAGAGACTATAGACCCTGAGTACTACAACTCACTAGTGTGGATCCAGTAAGTGCACAAATATAGGGAATGTAGCAGGAATGTGACGTCTGGCATTATATTATATTGCATTAATTAACCTGTAACTACGTGATCATCATTTAGATATCTTCCTACTTTCTTATACTAATTTACAATTGTTAAATTTTATTTGTTGCATATATCTAAGCCAGTATTCTTGACGTTCTGCAGCCCGGATCCGCGCGAAGCGCGCTTCGCGCCACCTGGTGGCGCCATTTCATTCAACTCGCTGCTCTGTATTTAGAACAATTTCACCGGTTATGTCAAATGGGCCTGTAATCGGTGAATTGAGGAGTTGTGGCGCTTGCACAAACCTTTCGATTATGCACGTAGGGCGAGAATAAATCCAATGGTCG